GAAAACTGACCCTAAAATTCTTTATACTTACTCCATGTGTTCCTTTTATGAGAACACCATTCAGTTTACTTTGCTTTGTGCTTCATGGAACTAAAGGAAATACACACCATTTACACTGTTATCAATTGTATTATGGAAAAATTCCATGACAAATATAGGGATTCTTGCTACATAGCATGAAGAGGTGGTATCACATGCTCTTTGTATCTGGACTGGGGAAGGTATCATCTGCTCCTAAAGCTTGTGACCTCATGAAATGCAGCATTCCAGGGAGCAGGCACTTTGTTCAGTTTCTTAGTTAAAACGTTTCAGCACAGAATATTCTGTGATTCTGTAGGGACCTACAAGGATCATCAAAGGGTCAGTTACAGGCACATAACTTGATAAAAGGTATCTTTTAATTTTTGTAATTTTGCGTGATTTTGGTACAACACATTTTAAAGTGTGTTGAAAGTATATGGCAGAGTGGGAATCCGAACCACCACAGTATGGTGTACAGAACTACAATTAAAATTCCATCAAAATAAGCTCTCTTACACACAAACCCATACCTTCAAAGTAGAGAAGGTCCCCACTCCTTTTCCTTTTTATTCTTTGGCAGAGTGCAGTAGAGAGGATTGTTTATGTCAGTGGGCTCTCAAAATATTCTTTCTCCTGAGCCTACTTAGCAAACATTTAGTTATATCTGGCCATTTTCTACCCTGCTTCTCTCTCATTTAAAGCTACTAGACTCTTTAGGCTGCACTTTGTGATCTGGTGTTAGTATTGTTTATTCTTTCTCTACAGGTAGTAAGAGTTGTGGCTGTTGGTTCTCTCCAGCCACCATCTGTTTGTTTCTTTCTGGCTGTGATGGGTTCTTCATGTGCTTTGCAAATAGTCTATCTAATGCTGACAGACTTTTCTCTCATTCAGTGCCCATCAATACCTATGATAAAAACAGAGGTTTGTCTGAAAAAAAGTAATAAACAAATAAAAGTATGATATGTGTGCTTGTGAATTGGTCTTCTTCATTCATCATTTTGTTTTGTAATTAAGTGAAACCAAAGCTCTCTGGTAGGAAATTAAGAATGATTCATATGAACACCTGTGAATTCACAATTGCTTTTATTGGGCTGGAAGTCCCTTAACCCATTTTTCTTATGCTTTTCTAGTCTCAACAGGTGCTTCATCTCACTATTTTATCCAGTCCCACTCTTTTTTACTTCCTTTATCCATGGAGGAAAAGCCAGCAAGATTGAGTTGTTTTGTTGGTTTTTTTGCACTGTATGACTCATTAAAGTTAAAAAAGAAGCCTGAAATTTGGGATGTTACTACTTAAATAAGCATAGCAAAATAACCTTTTTAAACTGACTTTCAGTAAAAGTGTTCATCGGCAAAACACAAGATGGCTCCGGGGAGACAACAGTGTTGTGACCAGGCTGTGACATGGACATTCTGGAAATTACTTTTTGTCTCTTTGTCACTGAGCAAATGGCAAAGGCTAGCTTGCTGTAGTGCTCTGAAATCAGCATATTTTAGTGGTACAAGAGAAGAATTGCTCAAAAATAAAGCCTAATCCCTTTGAAGTCAGTCTTGTTGCTGTCAAACGGAGCAGACAGAAGCCTCTATTTTGGGTTTATAGGTACTGAAAATTACTATACTGTGCCAGATCTGCATGTATTTTGCATATATTCAGTTTAATAAAATGAAGTACCATAATGAAATTCTGTTTGAAAAATACTTGGATTAACTTTTAATTTTGGAAGTAATTTTTTAAATGCCTTTTTTTGTCTCTCTCCTCAAATACTCCAAATCTTAGTTTTCAATTGCTTTCTTTTTCTAGAGTCTCAAAGATTTCTTCCTTTCATTGAGATTTTTGTGTTTGCCAAACATCCATTACTGCAGTGTTTGAAGCCAGATGAGATGTTTAAGGATGTTCCCATCACTGGGAACAGCCATGTCTTTTTTGCCTCCATTGAGTTTTCCCACGTTGTTTCAATAGCTTGATAAAGTTGTAACACTTTTTATTTCTGTTGTATCTTTTTATTTCAGGCAGTTTGTTTCCATAGGCTTGGCACAAGTCTGCATGGCACAGATATGAAAGTTGGCTTATTGCCTCTCTTCTTTCACAATGAAGTTCTTCCTTAAGGAACTTTCCAAATGTTGGATAACATAAAACACTGTGATGTATATAGAATTATTTGAAACTTTACTGATTGAAATCTGTCCTTCAAACAGAATCTGCACACAGCCCACAGGCATATCTCTGCTGTTCTAAAGCTAACATAGGAGACAAACTTGTAAGAGTTTCTGAAAGGGAAGCAAAGCTTATCTTTAACCTTGTGTCACAGAATACATATAGGAGGGTTTTCTAATTAGTGCTATTTTCTTTTCTTCAATATTTAAATTAGATTATCTGTAATTAATGCTTGCTCCTACCATGGGACCCTTCCAGGAGCAGTTTGGAGATGGACAGCCTTCACTGCTTCTCAGCTGGGAGCTGCTCTGGGGCTATGGTGTACAGGGCACATCCTGCTTTGTACCACCAGCCCTTACCCTCCTGCTGGTCCCCAGGTCCCCCTCCCTTCTCTCTCTCCCTGGGGAGCTCTTTCCCACTGCTGCACAACCACAGTGCTCAGGCACACTCTTCCTCTCCCTTTGCTCCACTCTCCCTTCTCTGGAGCCCAGGAAAAGCTCCATGCTAACAGGGTCTGTGTGTAGCTCTGCAGTCAAGCCTAGAAGATGTAAGTGCATCTCAAGTGCATTGACAGACTCGTGCTGTCACTTGTTGTGCCCCAGCCTGGTTTGCATTTGCCGCCTTCATCTTTCCCGTAGCGTCTCAAGTCCAGCTGCATGTGGCTGTGTTTTTGTGACTGCCTACATGTGTGGGGCTGCAGGTCAAGCTGGGCTGTGGCCACTGTTCGGCTTATGTCTAGAAGCTGTATCTCACTACTTTCTCTTAAGCTCTTACCAATCTCTCTGCAATTTTAAATGTTGACAGATGACCTACACTGAGTTGTTCACCTTTTCTCCTTGTATTTACAGAGTCATTATATGTCCTGACTCAGCTTATCAGCTCACCCGTGTCTGTAGGAGCCCAGGCTCTGGCAGCACTGAGGAAGGCCATGGCTGGGATTGGGCAGAGGCAGAAGGGAGAGCTGGAGCCCAGGGGCATTCTGTGCTCCCAGCCTGATGGCTGCAGAGGACTAGCAGCCTGGCTAAGTAAGCTCCAGTCTGGCCAGCAACATTGGCCCTCCCATCTCCATTTTTGCTCTTATAAATACACTTGAGTTTTAAGTGGACTGTTCATTTCAAGTGTATTTCACTGGGTGATAGTACCCCTTTGATTTTTCTAAAGAGGCTATGCATAGGAGTAAATTTCCATAAATTGGCGGGGTTCATCTGCCTCTGAGATTTTGCAGTTGTTATTTCAGGTCACATTTAAAAAAGCATAGGCCAGTAAATGTAAGGCTCATCCATGTAATCTGTCTGTGGTATATCACAATTCCAGTCAGTAATTGCAGGTGGAAGGCATAGGGCCTCAGCACTGAAGTATATTTAAGGGGATTCTGTGGAATTTCTGAAAACATGAGGCTTGCCCCAGGCAATGTGTTGCATAAGGGAGTTGTGCAATGCCAAACTGCCTAAAGTCAGTCATAATTTGTATACTTTGTGTACTTGCCTTTCTATCCTACCTTCCTTTCCACAGCTGTGGGTTAGAATCTGTACTTACTCTAAGACAAATGAGAGAAATAAGACTTGACATATTGAAAAAGGCAGAGCCTTTTTTGTATGTGTGTGCAGGCTGTGCCATCTGAATTCAGTGACCAGGTAATGCCTTCCAGGCAGTGTAAACTTCAGGAGGTGCACTCAGTGTTTCAGGTGGCCCTTGAGGGGACATCAGACCTCTTTGAGGTCTGCATGAGCAGGTGCACTTTGTACATACTCAGAATATCTGGGCTAGCAGAAGTAAACTGTGGTCAAGGAATGAAGGTCCACAAACCATTTATTGTCTTGCTCCTGTATGCTACTGATAATGTTCACAGAGTCCCTGATAGTACCAGAAGAACCTTATTCTGGAGTACAGGGACTCCTGGGAGTTAACTGGTTTGACTGATGCCATTTTCTACTTGGCTTGAAAGAGAGGAAATTAAAGCCACAGTTGTGGTAAGAGGAGTGTGAAATGTTTGCAGATGAAGGGGAAATTATTCTAAATGTTTTGGCTTTCATAGTCACCAAAAATTACAAATCATAATTTTTGTAAAAGAATCTTTTCAAAGTCCAGGTGAAACTGCTTGAGAAAAAAGAGATTTGAAATTTTAATGTGAACATTCATCAGCTAGATGTTTGTTTTAAATTCTGTATAGAGATGGAGCCCATGATGGTAAATAAACAAAGCAGAAGTGGATAATTTCACTCAAACATCATGGACCTTAAAGGCAATGCTTAATTCCAATGAAGTAATTCTTGTTCTAGTTCCAGTCACAAATAACCCTTTATTGCTGCTTTCTGGTCAAAGCACCTCTTTTCGGCCATCTGTATTGTCTAAGTGTTGTGAATCCCTGGGGTATCTCTTTCCCTATCATCTTCTGCCTAATTACATTTTAATATCTTTAAATATATTTTTAAAATCTTACTTTGATAGGTGTTAGATTGTATTAAGTTTGTGGCAGTATGTCCCAGGCAAAGTCTTCTCTGCCAGTTTGCAAGGATCAAACAATTTGTTTTTTCAATTTCAGTGTATTTATGCAGGGCACTTGTTGAATTGAGCATTCTCCTGATTTCACTGGAATTATAAGGTAGAACTCAGAGTGTGTTTGGCTTCTATCACTTAAAGCAGTCAGCACCATTAATTGGTAATATTGGGAAATTATTTATTCTGATCTTTAGGACACAGTGGCATTACCCACAGTGATGCAGTGAAATGCTTTAATTTTTGATTTTTAAACCACTCCAGTTGCTATCTCTTTCTTTTTTTTTTTCTTTTTTTCTTTTTTCTTTTTTTTTTTCTTTTTTTTTTTTAAGAATTTATAATTTACTGGACTGAGTATTTATAAATTTCACAGAACATTTTGTTCTCTGATTTAAATCCTGCATACCAAGTGCCTGCCTGGGGCAAAGACAAAAAAAAAAAGTTAGCTTTGATACTCCAAAACTGGCTGAATAAATCCTGTGCAGCTGGCCTGCGTGAAATGTGCCCAGTGACAGCAAGCAGCAGCAAGGATTCAGAGGGATAGGGAGAGCTCTGTGCTGTCAGATGTTACAGTGTTTTATTGCTTTGGCTGGGAAGGGCAGGAATGTGTAGGTATCTCTACTATTCAGTATAGGGGTGCAAAGTGGTTCCCTCAGGCACGTATGTGGACAAAACTGCTGCACAAATGTGCAGTGTTGCCTTCTGCATGTATTTGTACATGCTCTGGTGTTTTCCAGCTTTGGAGATGTGGTTAAAGCCTCAAAGTGAATGTGTGAGTCTGCAGCAGCTGAGAATACGTTTCCAGCACTGGAGGTTCTCGTGTGGTTGAGTGTCTGTTCCAACCTTGGTGTGGAATTGTCTAACCTGTACTGTGGTATTTGTCAAGGGAAGTTCTTGGAGGCTTACTGAAATGTTCAGGCCAGCACAGTACAGGTTACACTTGTCTATACTTGAAGGTGAGATGTCAGGAACTGTTACAGATTGGAAACTGGTTTTTCTGCCTGTGCTGTTTCTCTGTTCATCCAACTGTCTCTCATCACTTTGTTTCTCTGTGTAATATAACCCAACTGAGATGTGGTCCTGAGGGAAAAGTGGCTTAAATCTGAATCCTGGAAAGTCAAGAATTAAAAGATGCATAGTTTAGGAAAATAAATTCTGGAATATGAAGTTATGAAGGCTGTGACTGGTTCACATGAGCAACTTGCAGCAAGGTCATGTTTTCCTCCGATAGTGCATCAACAGGAATTTGGAAATCCTGCTCTTACTTGGATGGTGTGAGCAGAGTGCTTTTGGCCATGCTCTGTAGGACCATCTCTGTGAATCCAGCTCTATTCTCAGTCTCCAGAGAGCTTCCAGGTTATCTAGAAAGAAGCACAAGAGTAACTGCAGTGGGACCAGATTTGCAGAACTGGCTTCTGCAGCTCAGAATGGCAGGACTCAGAAAAGAAGAAAACATAGAGGCTTTCATTAGTTCAGGTTTTTATCAGAAATACACTAGGACTTAAAGAGATATTTATATGTATTGGATGGTAAACAAATTTTCAGCAGAATGAGGTGAGAATCAAACTTCCCTTGGAGACAGTTTGGCCAATAGTTTCTGACAGGGTTTTGGTTTTTATTTCCTATGTCATTTGTAGGGATCATACATTGAAATCCTGCTCTGTCCTACAGGGACCACTGGCTTGAACAAGTGCATGACAATTCTTAGGATGCTTGTGCTGAAAGACTTCTCTTAATGGACCCTGATAGGATTTAGTTTGATTTGTTCCAGAATGGAATTGCCCTTGTTCCTGCTGCTGCAGGCTCATAATCTGGAACCCAGGACTCGAGCAGGACTGAGGGATGCATGGTAAGATTGTGTTACCTGTACACAGGACAATGGTGAAACCTGGGACATGTCGCTTGTGACTTTGGGCTGTCTGGTCTGAAGCAAGGGACAGGAAAGTTTCTTTATTAATGGAAGATAAATGCAGAGCAAGGAGAGAAGGTGAAAAATCCTTAGGAAAACTAAAAACAGAAGAGAAGTAGTACTGAGAGTGGGCAAAATCTTTTGCTTGTATGTGAGCATTGCTCATATAACTTCAAGAGGGTACATGCTTTAACTGAGCATGTACCAGCTGAGGACTTGGCCCATAATGTCCTTTATAAAGCTCTGGTTCCTCCTCAGATAGTTTTTCCCTCCCTCTTCAAAGGGCACCTGTTGTTGGTGGAGTTGGTGATGATACTGGATTAGAGCACATGCGGTCAGCCTGCTTGGCCTCGGCCCTTTGGACCTAAAACGAACTCCAGCTGCTGTTGCCCAGAGCAGGTGCTTCATCCAGCCCGAGCAGCTGTTTGAATGCTGTTTGAATGTTTGCTGTCACAGCCAAGGGGTGGGGGGAAGTTCCCTGAAGGACCCAGAGGAACGACTGATCAGCAGCAAGGAAGGAAGGGAAATGTGCCATGGAGATCTGGTTTTTATACCCAGCAGACAAAAGTTGTTCTAGCATTTCCTTGTAGAAATAGGGAACAGTGGCTGTCACTCTGCATCCACTGAGCCTGCCCAGCACCATGATGGATTATGGTTCCCAAAAAGAGGCTGAGGGACCGCTAAAGACCAGCAGAGCTGGTTGTAGTCACTGGTTTAAAGCTTCAGTGAGTGGCCCAGCAAAACTGAGATTGGGTATAGAGCAGTGCACAGGCTAATGGCCTGCTGCCTGTGGTATCTTGGACTTCACACTCACACTGCTAGAGGAAGGAAAACAAAAGCAGAGATAATCTGGGTGCGAAGCAGCTACAGGGAACAGTGCCAGGGAATGGAGGCAGAGAGGATGACCTGGGGCTATATGGAAATGTGGTGGTTGGGAGTTTGAGGTCAGAGTTTGAGGAGGGGGCACAGATAGTTTGTGTCAGAGATAAAGCAGCAGCAACCCATGGTTAGAGTGATGGGAACAGGACAAGGATGAAGGTTTTGTGGAGTAACACAATCACAACCTTCAAAGGGATGAGGGCAGCTTGGTGTAAGGGCAACCCAGGCCTACAGCAAGAGGTAATGGGGAGTACCTTGCAGATCAGGGAATCTCACAGGATAAGCTCAAAGTAATTTCAAATTTCAAAGTTCAAAGTAATTTCCATCACTGGTGTCACAAACAGCCCTTTCCAAGTCCCTTCCAGCATTCCTTCAATTTATTCCCCTTCAACTCTTGTCACTGAGCTGGCAGTGGTTCCCGTGCAGTCCTGCACTCTCTGATTATTCCCATGCTGTTAGCAACAGTGCTCCTGGCCTCCCTTTCCAGGAGCATGCATTCCCTGGTTGTGTCTGCATATGTCACTGTCGGCATTAACACCAAGTTCATTATGACTCCTTAGGGTCCCATCCTCTTACCTGTATTCATTAAAGTTAGCAGAGTCCTTCCACTTTCTCTGATAGGCTCACTTTGTGTCCCTGTCCTGTGCATGGCTTTTATCATATCCCATCAGCCAGACTTCTCGTTCTGTGTATCTTTGCTGATTGCTCAACCAGGTTTCCACTGAACCTCCATAAGGATGGTAATGCTAAGCAAGGATACTTCCTCATACAGCTATAAAAGGATTATTCAGGCCAGATTTCATTACAGCATAGCCTAAGAGTAGGAGAAAACGTGAATATCGGAGGCCTCTCTTTGTCAGGAAATGGGATTTCCGCAGGTGCTCAGTTGTAAATGCCTTGCATGCTTCTAAGGCTTGGTACATGGCATTGCTGAATCCTGATTCAGGATGCAAGAATGTCTCATGACCCCTGCCATGAAAACTGGTGTCTGGCCATGTTTGGAAATCAGCCGTCGATGATGACAGTAGATGAGTATGGGTGAAATGAGCAGTTTGGCTTCAACACTAAGCAAGACTTGTTAAACATTGTAAGTACAGATGTCCAATTCATATTTTGAATAATGAATATTATGAACTTTTCTGTAGCAAGTGGTAAGAAGCTGGATCATCTTTCTTCATCTGCTCACTGCCTTCACAGAAATTGCAAGTATGACAAAGTATTTCATCCCTTTACAGGATTAGGTAAGATTGGTAACCATAATTCATGTATAGAATTACACAGAAATAGTCTAGATAGCCAAATATATTGATTTAAAGTTACCTATGTGGTGGGAGGGAAATTTTTTCCATTTTGGTTTATTTGTTTCTTGGGTTGGTCATGTTATTCAGCTGACTTCAGCTGTTTATTCTTTTGGATGAAAATCTGCAGCTGTACAGGCCTGTAAAATTTCTGTCCCAGTGTAGCTCTTCCATCCTGCTTCATTCCTGCTATTTGGTTTGCTTCTTTATGAAAATAAAGGAATTGGGAAAATAGTACCAGAAACTGTAGGAATTAAATTCTCATGGCTGTTAAAGAAAGAGATGTGTTAGGAGTAGGGTGTTTCTGTGCTTCTTCTGTTCTCACATCCCTTGGACAAGTCACTGTTGCATGTGGAAAGAAACACCACACACAACTGTTACCAGTGTGTGATGTAGCTCTGTGCGAGGGGAGCCATCCTCTGACTTGCTACCGTGGATGTACCAGCAATAGCTCTGTGTTGCCTCCTTATCTGCCTGATAGCATGGCACTGATCAAGTGGCAGCTGCTGCCCTGCCTCCTTCCTCTGCACTTCTCATCCTCAGCTTCCTTGAACTCAGGATGAATGAAAGTACAGCTTTTCAAATCTTGATGGAGTAGTAAATTCTTGCTAGAAACCAAACCAAATACCATTTTCAGAACGGCCCTGTATTTATGTGTGGCAGCACATTTAATTTGGTATTCCAGAGATTTTTGACCTACATGTTGATAAGAATTTTTTGAAGCATCTGTCTTTTGCTAATTAAAACATAATTAGATACCAAAGATTTAAACCATCCTAAAAGATGTGTGACAATGTCCAATGCCCTGTCTGGTGAAGAACAATGGAGTGAAACAGTTTGGGTGTGGTAGAATAATTTACTAACTGCTGGATTAAGACTAAGGAAATAAAGAGCTTATTAGCAGTCTTCCACGTTTAGGGGGATCTGGAGAACAAAAGGATTTACTTTATATGAGGCCCATGTTATGCTGTGCAGGAATTCCCAGTCCAGGGTCAAAAATACTAAGAGTGCCCTTTCACCAGAGAGCAGACAATTAGCTTGCTGCCAGTAGGGAAAACAGCCTTTAAGTGGTGAGTGAACAGAGTGTCAGCAATGGACCTGGAGAGAGGGGCAGCACACAGTCAGAGCCAGTGACATTCTTCACACCTGCTGCGGGGCATAACAGTAGCTGGCTGCCTCAGCCCGTGGCACTACAAGCAGAGCATTGTGCTGTGACACAGCCTGGACAGCGATTGAATTACACACCAGTTAGGTCTTCAGCTTCTCCTGTCACTGTGGACAATGGAGAATCAGAGAACTGGACATGAGAGCTTTAGCAGGCCTTGTGCTCTCCAGCAGAGGAGGATTAGTTTGTAAATGGTAAATTGTGCTGGGGCCAAGAGTCGTAAAACTGAACTCTTGCCCTGCTGCTGCCTCAAAGGCAAAGGCTCTACAGAAAAGCCCTTCTGCCCCCCTTCTACTAAATGCTGTGGTCAGGGGAGGGGTGGGAATATGTAATCTGCTCCTCCTTTCCTCTGCCAAAGAAGGAAGAAGAAACTGGTACATTTGTGTAATTTTCACTCCTCACTATCTCTTACTATCTTTTCTAAGGAAGAGCATGGGATTAAATTAATCAGTCTTCTGCCCTTTCCACAGGGATGCGGATTTGCCTCTCACCAAAGTGCTGCTGGCTGCCTGCTGGAGGGTGTCTCTAAGACCTGATTTAACCTGAAGCATGCACTTCCTCAGGAGGTCTGCAGCAGGGCTGGAGGACTGCAAACACTGCATCCCTTCCCTCCTGTCACCCGCTTCCACACGACTGCAGTGCCTGTACTGTGTTCTCAGCTCCCTCACTCTGAAATGTTCCTCATGATGGTTTGTACGGAGGTGCCTTGGAGCAGGCTTTAGTTTTGGTGGCAGTCCCCCTTGTTGCCATGTTATTCAAGAAGATGGCTTTATCCTTGCCTTTATTCCACTGGGACCAGCTACTCTACCCACAGGCACCAAAAGTGGCAAATCTTCCCTAACCTATTTTAATTTTCAACTGAAACTCTACATCACATGAATTTCTTTGTTTTTTTTGAGAGGTAAAGACTTTTTTTCCCTTTTTTTTTTTTTTTTGAAACCACACCAAATAAAAACCCAAACACCAAAACCCAACAAAGCCAAAACTGTCAGAAAAAAAATAAATCAAAACCCACACATTGAACCCAAGTTGGAGAAATAACTGCATTTTGTGACTGATACAGTCCATGGGAGTACAAAGCATTCACAGTCTGGTCTTGCACATCCACACCCTAAACCTATTAATAGATTTTAGGCATGAGCATAGACATGGAGACGGGCAGGAGCAGTTTGCCATGCAAACATTTATCTGTGAACCCCAACCTATTTTCTAGAACTGAAGATTTTAGTGTGATAAAGTGGACATTTTAAAGCCCTGGTGGAGATAGGGGGGATGTAACTGCACTTAAACTGAGGGTGGATTAGGCATTCTCATATCTTGGAGTCTGCCAGTAAATAGCAAAGTATATAAACAATGGAAGGAAACATGTCCTTCTTAATCTGTAAAAAGAAAAGGACAGTTTTGAAAATCCATCAGTCTTTCAAATCATCTTAAGGCATATTGATTCTGAATCATCACAGGGGTGTTCTTGTTAGTGATCTAAAAATATAAATGTAGTTGAATACATGGAAAACTGTATCTTATTCCAGTTGCTTGTATTACTGCAATAAATGATACCAGCTCTCTCTTCCTACAGACTTTATCTCATCTCTTTATAGTGCTGGCATTTATTTTGTTTTAATCTAAAAAACAATGCATACCTAGGTACTGTAAGGTTATAGAGGCTTTATGAACATACCATTTGAAAGAAATAGTTTCTGCTCTGGTTACTAGTTTGAACTGAGAAAAGATACTCATATTTCATAATCCTGAAAGAAATAGCATAATTACCACATAACTGCTGTAATACAGCAGTTCTGTGTAATCTGCTCGTAAACGATCCATTCCAGAAAATTCCCAAATCTCTCCCACCTATTTTCTCTAATAGGTGGCAAATCCTTCATAGCTCTCAAAAATGCTCACAAGTCTGCAGGGTATGAAGGCTTTGCTTTGGTTTATTTTTTGTAAAGCTTGGTAAAAAAAAATAATGAATGAGAAATTCAGCTGTTGTTCAACATAGTACTGATAACTGAGAATCCATTTTCAAAATTGCAAAATAAATGATATTCTAAGTTTTAATAAACTAAAAGCTATTCTATGTAATAAAAGCTATTCACTGTTGGTTTTGCTTCTATGGAGTATTTCAGAGGTAAGTTTTAAAGGAAAAAAAATAAGGAAAAGCAGTCATTCACGAGTGCTGATAAAGGAATGACAGAGGTTAATACCACTGACATCATGTTGGAACTGTATAGCATTTTGTTAATGGTTATTAATGCCCTGCTGCTGGGAGACAGACAGTGCCAGCTGCCTTTAGTGTGGTGCCTCTGCGGGTATGCCTGGGCCTCTGCTTGGGAAGGAGAGGGCCCAGAGGAAGGCTCAAATCTGCTCCCTCCACTGTAACAGGAGGAGAGGAGACACTGAAAGAAGGCACTTGCAGTGCCTTGCTCAGAACAGGGCTTGAAAGGTGAAGCAGGAGCAGCAGACACCTACAAAGCCACATCCAAGAGATACTGAGAACTTCTGTTCGATTCAGATCTCCAGGACTAAACCAAATATATAAATCCTTTGGAAGAAAACAGCAAGAGATTCAGATAAACATGCATGGAAATTATACCATTCAGCCTGGGGATGAAGCTTGGGTTCATGTAAGACAACTCAGAATTTGTGCATCTGTGGAAAGGAGTCAGAAATGTTGTAGACTGAAGGAGAAAAGCCCTTGAGAGGAAGGGAAACAAACTTTGTAATGGCAGAATGGTGATGGATATGGAATAATTAATTAGTTTTGACTACATCGTATTCACTGTACATCTAGATTTGTGGGTTTAGCGGTCTCACTTGTGGCTAGCTATTACTTTGTGTAATACCTTTCAATTTCATACACCATAAGGGAATGAAAAAGATACAAAAAAGTGCAATATGTCAGTATAGCATATCAAATTGTGACAGGCATTTTTAGCAATCTGTACTGAGCAGAGGTTTGAGCCTGCATTAGATTATTCCTTAAGTGTATTGTTGTTATGACAAATTTGAAAGGAGCTAAAAGCATTTCAATAGATCAAAAAAGGAAACTTTGATTTCCTTTCCCACAGTCTGGACCCAAAATGGGATTGCCAGCCAGTCTGACATGACCTGGCCGTGTACCACACCATCACCCACTGGAGAATGGGAGCAGAACAACTGGAGATGAGTTGTGAGTCCTGTGGGAGTAACTGGCTCACCGGGCCTCTCCAGATTGTTCAGCTTCTAGATCTCCTTAAAAGCTGGTGCAATGTAACCTGAATAATGCACTGACAGTGTTTATCCAAGAAATGCCTGATGGCCCAAGGTCATTTTAATGATGACTGCTACCTGATGGGCCACACAGACTATTGTACTCTCTTCCACGTCAGTTAAAAACTAGTCTATCACTATTTATGTCTTCTAAAAGGGTAAATATGAGTTTGATCCCATGAACCTCAGGTCTGGGGACACAATTTAATTTTAAACCCCATTAATTTTGCATACCCATTAATTATTAGAAATAAATGGAAACATCCATGCAATACTGTATATGTAGTCCCCAGTTATGCAGCCTAATATTCAAACACAATGATTTATACAGCCTTTATTTTCTCTGGTAAGTTTTACAAATAAAGTTACCCATACAAATAGTTTGCAGTCAGTTTCCCTCAGTGCAAAGTGTAAGCAGCAGGAGCAGCAGGTCAAGGGGAGCAGTTTTTCCCTTTTGCATGGCATTCAGTGTCATCATTACTGCAGGTAAATTGTTTGTCTGGTTTTAAGGATTTTCTTTGTTATTGTTTTCTTTTTTCTTTTCTTTAGCTACCTAAAATGGTTCATGTTACTCTTCCAGTAGCTCAGACTTCTATAAAAACATTTGCAAGGAAAAAAAATAGTGTAACACACTGCCTATTTTGAAGAACTTCAAATTGGAAGAAACATTGGAATTCTGTATTTCTTCAAGAAAATAGACTCTTACTAATTAACTTCTGTTTCTTTATTACTCTCACTTTGTTGGTAGATAATATTTAGATGAATTTAGAATGGCTGGGACTCAAGCTTCACTTTTCATTTGTATTTCAAGCTGGAGCAAATAAAATAAAACAGAATGAAGCTAGGGAAGCTTCTACTCACCTCAATCGGTGTGAGATAGCCCCTGCAATCTAATGTATTTCTAGGCTTTGCCTCTTGACATTTTTCTTCTGGGGGTGAGGAAAGAGGAGAAATTGTCTTAACAGTTAACAGAGCAGTAATGAGCCTCTAAAAGGTGCTTTTGTCTTAAAGTAATAAGCAATCAATACAAGGTCATTTCTGATGGATATGTTTAGCTGGGGTGGGGTTTTTTTGGTGGGTTTGGGTTTCTTTTCATATAAGGAAATATGACAACTGGTGCCTCTTACTATGCCTATAATGTAACTGACTCTGGAAGCTTGATTTACCGTTTTGGATTTGTAGATGGTGAAAATGAAGTTAAAAACAATTTCCAAAACCTGATCTCTAGCAGATGAAAGTCTTGCAGAAAAACAGTCAGGTATGTTCCAATGCACCAAGATCTGGGTCTTGCATCATGAGTCTGTTTAAAATACTTAGTTTCTTTCAGGTTTTGACTATGCTAGCATTTCCCTATAGTTGCCTGAGTAGTGCCTGTCTGGATATTAATCATCCTGTATTTGTGTAAATATGAAGTGCTTGTCTGGAAACCTGGGTGGAATGGTTGAATGTTCCATGGGCTAGTCATTAGTGTGTATGACTGCTATATACAGAACATCGAGCTGTCTCAGGCTGTGTTTGGGGGAGTTTGAGCTGAATTCTGAGTCTGTTTATTGACCCTAATGTGTGTGTGGAAATTCTCTTCATGGAAAGAGAATAGGACTTTTGAATTGGTAAAGGCAACAGTCAAAGACTTTGATGTATCACTTGTACGCTGACTGTTGAGAAAAGTAACTCCCTAACTTGAAATCATGTGTGCCAAGTTACCTTCACTGGCATTGTGAGAGCAGCAGCAAAAGGTTCACGTAATTATTAAATGGACTTTTATGGGTAAAGAACATACCTTTTTTCCTAGAAAGAAGTGGCTTCACTCAAAAACCAGCAGGAGTTTTAGAATCGCAGAATGGCCTGGGTTGGAGGGACATTAAAGATCATCTCATTCCAACCTCTCTGGCAAGAGCAGGGACATCTTCCACTAGACTGAGGTTGGTCAGAGCCCCATCCAACCTGGCATTGAAACACTTCTATGGATGGGCCATTCACACTTCTCTGGGATACCTCTGCCAGTGCCTCATCACTCTCACAGTAAAGAGTTTCTTCATGTCTAATCTAAACCTATTTTCTTTCATTTTAAAACCATTCCTCCCATGCCATTACATGATGAAAAGTCCCTTTCCAGGTCTTGTAAGCCCTCTTTAGGTACTGGAAGATGCTGTAAAATCTCCTCAGAGCCTTCTCTTCTCTAGGCTGAACAGTCCCAACTCTCTCAGCCTGTCAAATTTCTTCAGTGTTTGAAAAATGCTGAGGAGCACTTGTTTTTCTGCCTTTCTTCCCCTCCTCCTTAAGAAATTGCAGGACTTGTAACTTTCCTGTTACTTCATGGGAGATATGTTAATTCAGCATAGGCTTTTCTATATGAACAGATTTACAGAGTTGTGTCACCAAATTGATAATACCAGAGGAAGGTGTAACAGCATAAGGGAAACATGAAACTGAATGTCTTTAATTAAAGGTGCAAACTGCAGATGTGAGCAAACTGCAATAGCAAAAAGCTATTCACACTGTGAAGGAAATGAGGGGACTGATTTAATTGGGAGCTGAAGATGTTAAATAAGCACCTTGAGTAGAAAGGATGCCAGCAAACACTGGGGATGGAGTTTGGCTGCAGGGGAACCATGTGATGCTCCAAAGCTAGTGTTTTTAAGTGGCACAGTGTAGAGTTGAATGGGCTTATAAATATGAGCACTTCAGTCATGTGCCTCAAAAGAACATCTCTTCAGCCTGTAGCTACTATAAATAAAGGAGATTAAAAGGGAGAAAGTTGAAGAACTTCATTCAAGTGATTAAGTATCTGGAAACAGCCAAGTGAATCAGACTTGTCTTGCAGAAACAATGGTGTAGTAAGTCAGTCTTTTAGGCTACCATAAACATCTGTCTCTGAATCTGCATATATTCATCATTTGTGCATATATGCCATCATATTGCAAAGAATCTGGGTTTGTAAGAATAGTCTAAGATTTTGGTTAGTAGGGCTTAAGGTTGAAGGCAGCTCCTTGTCTTTAGAGCCTGCTTTATTTTTAAAAACATGGCTTAGCTCCCCCTGCCACAACCCTGTGGTGATGGGCAGCACCTCAGCCTGATCTATGAACTTAAAACACATTTGATCTATATGCTGCTGCTTACTGCCAGGTCCTGCCACTCCACCTGAATAACTATAACATGCTCATAAATCAGGGGAGAGCATTCCTCGCTGACACCATCCCAAATGCCCTACTGAGCTGAAGCCTGTGTTAGCCATCAATGCCTCTTACATAAACATGTCATACTTTAAAGTGGGTTCTTGCAAAAAGCACAAACAATATGCTGGTATGGAGGGGCCACACAAAGTCAA